TATATATATATTACTTTGGGGTTAGGCTGTCCAAATTGCATTGTATAATATGTTATAAATTAATATGTTCTTGGGTTTTTTTTGAAATATATATATATATATATATACATGTATTAATTCAACCTTAATCTGAGTTTCTAGACAAGAAAGAGGGTAAGCAGTTGAAATTTCATTCTAAAATTCATCCTTTTATGATCGTTTCATGACTTATGATCTATCAAATTTATAGTTTTTTTATTGGTTTTGAGTTTTATCTTAAAACTCAAGTTTTTTGGTTCTTTACTCTTAGTGTAAATCGAACACATTTGTGGAGTCGTTTAAATATATTGGATTTTAAACTCTCATACATTTTTTTCATCGATAGTCTGTAATTGGAACCATAACTCTTATTTATTCAAATTGTATTATTATGTAAAGACCAAATGTAACATATATCATCGTTAAATTTTATCTTATAAAACCAGTGGAACTTCAAAATCGTTAAAATTCATGGTTCCCGCCGCATTGCGCGGGTATACAACTAGTATATACAATATATTTATAATCTATAATATATTTTTGTAACAATTATATAGTCAATGGTAGCAACTAGGGTTGAGCAAAACCTGAAGTGACGCGACAAATCCCTCCTTACCTGAACCAAAATTATGATGGTTTAAACAGATATCTGAAATTAACAAAACCCAAAATATGAGATCCGAAGTTTAAGTAGAATTGTAGGGTTTTCAAGTTGGGTTTGCATATCAGGCACTCAACCCACCCGAACATCTGGTCTCCCCCCTAAGTCCAAGATCCAAAGTATTGACTTACCGTTCGTTTACATCCAATGATGATTTCCCCCTAATTTATCTTTTTACTTAATCAGCCTACACGCAACACAAGTCACACAACTACTTCTCCTAGTGGAGAATTTGTGAGAGGCTGACAGTGGTCGCTGATTCGCTAGAGTGGTCGCCGGTCGATGACTAAGAGTACACAAGAGAGTGAGTTTGTTCGGTGGAAAGGGGAAACTCACTGGTTTGTTACGTACAACCCGTCAATACTCGATTGTATTCATCTCTCATTGCCTCATTGTCATTGATCGTTGGTGGTAAACCCTTGCAACACTCAACTCTCAAGAATTCAATTGCCATGCAAGTACTAATGAAGTAATAAAGTACATAAGCCAAAGTCATGCAAGTACACGGTACATCATTAGTTGCCACATCCCACGTGCTCAAATTGTATAACCCATCAAGCATGGGTAATCACTCATTAGTGCCATAAACCATAATGTCAAGCCAACTCGACAACCTACCGGAACCGACCTTACTCGAACCCTCAAAAACCGAACAACCCGTCACCCGAAACCTAAGGGGACGGCTCATGAAGACCTGCTACGAAAACCAATCAGGTTTCATGTCTACCAACCAAAATCTGCCCGACCCGACCAATTATCCCCCTAGTAGCAATACTGTTAGATTGCATCAAAGTGTCAATGGATAGAAACCCGTATTATCTTTTCCAAATTAACGGACCAAGTTATGTGAATTTTATAGATTTATCTTATTTAAAAAAATATAATTATTGAAATTTCAATAAAACAAAATGCATATTACATTAAGAATTTTATTCACTTTAATTTGATATTCATATTTCTTTTTTCATGATATAACTGTATTTTTTATTAGGAATATATATTTATACTAATATATTTACTATATTACAAAACATTGATCTCATGTTCTTAAACTCTCTTAAAATTCAAGTTTATAACTTATTATTGCATACTTACAAAATCTTAAAGTTTCACTTTAACTCCATAAAGTTAACTGATAAACATTAAATTGTATTAATACGTCAAAACATTACTATCTTTCTCTCTCAAAACTACGAATCATGATTGAGGTTTTGAATTCTCAATTTTAGAATCAAGATGCATCTTTATTTTAATAAAACTCGAAGGTATTCGTACAATGCAACGAGATACATCTTAATTTTAATATTTCATTTTATTTTTTATCTCAATCGATGTTATAATATGGTCTTACGTGATTTTGAAAAAAAAAACGATGATGCTTTTAATTTTGAACAAAATATAAATTTGAATATATATCATAAAATTTTGACAAAAATATATCGATATTAGTATCAAATTAATTATTTAAAATTGCTCATATTTTGTGTAATTTTTTAATTCAATTTTTTTATTATAATATAGTAATTTATATTTGGTTTAATAATATAATTTTCTTATAAATATAATAATTAATTATTTTGTTAGAACTTGATAATTATTCTAATTATATTTTATATTTTTTTTTATTTTAAAATGAGATGTTTATTCTTTTTTTGATTATGTTTATCCGCAGTTAGTTACACGAATTCAAGTATGAAGCTTTAATAAGTTGTATTTATGCATAATTTACTTGTAATCTTGAATTTTAAGTAATACACATCAATAAACAGTATTTTATGCATAAAAATTGTTTTTAAGAGTTTTTGTTAAATGTTTTATAATATAGTATAGATAATTATTAATTTAAAATTAGTCCATGTATTACTTTATTTCAGTCTTATTAAAATATTATGAAAATCTAATTATAAATAGTTTCTTAAAATAAGTTAAAACGTCGTATTTGCACATCTTTCGTGTTTGCTACAAAATGGGTGATAACTTAAATTTTAAAAGCCCATAGAAGCGTCCAAATTTGGGCTGTAAGGTCTATACTTGTAGAGCATATAACTAAACAACCCAATACTTGCAATAAATGGGCTGAAACAACTTAGCCCAAAACGACACCTATCTATATTATATTATAAAACATTTAACAAAAACTTTTAAAAATCATTTTTATATGCGAAATACCATTTATTGATGCATATTACTTAAAATTCACGATTACAAGTAAATCATGTGTAAGTACAACTTATTAAAGCTCCATGTTTGAATTCGTGTAACTAACTGTTGATAAATATAATCAAATAAATGATAAACATCTCATTTTAAAATATAAAAAAATCTAAAATATAATTATGATAATTATCGAGTTATAACAAAATAATTAATTATTATTTTTATAAGAAAATTATATTCTCTATACTATATTATAAAACATTTGACAAAAATTCTTAAAAACCATTTTTATGCGTAAAGTATTGTTTATTAATGCATATTACTTAAAACTCAAGATTACAAGTAGATTGTGCGTAAGTACAAGTTATTAAAGCTTCATATATGAATTCGTGTAACTAACTGCAGATAAACATAGTCAAATACATGATAAACATCTCATAAATATAAAAAATCTAAAATATAATTAGGATAATTATCGAGTTTTAACAAAATAATTAATTATTATCTTTATAATAAAATTATATTCTCTATACTATATTATAAAACATTTGACAAAAACTCTTAAAAACCATTTTTTATGTGTAAAATACTGTTTATTAATGCATATTACTTAAAACTCAAGATTGCAAATAGATTGTGCGTAAGTACAAGTTATTAAAGCTCCATATCTGAATTCGTATAACTAACTGTAGATAAACATAGTCAAATACATGATAAACATCTCATAAATATAAAAGATTTAAAATATAATTAGGATAATTATTGAATTATAACAGAATACTTAATTATTATCTTTATAAAATGTTATATTATTAAACCAAAAATAAATTATTTCATTATTAAACTTAAATTAAATTATAATTAAAAAAATAAATTAAAGAAATTACATAAAAAATGAGAACTTTTAAATAGTTGATTTGATATTAACATTGATATATTTTCTTCAAATTTATATTTTATTCAAAAATAAAATTATTAATGCTTTCTTAAAAACACATAAAATCGTATTATAACATCGACAGAGACACATAATAAAATTAAACATTAAAATCGAGATGTGTCTTGCTGCATTGCGCAAATATTTTTCTAGTTAAACCAAATACAAATTACTTGTTATTGCACCTAAATTAAATTATAATAAAAAAATTGAATTAAAAAATTACACAAAAGATATAAATTTCAAATAGTTTATTTGATACTAATATCGATATATTTTTGTCAAATTTTTATGATATCTTCAAATTTATATTTACTAAAAAAAAGCATCACCGTTTTTTCAAAATCACATAAGACCATACTATAACATCGACTGAGATAAATAATAAAATAAAATATTAAAATCAAGATGTATCTCGCTGCATTGCGCGAGTACGCTTCTAGTTTTCATATAAAGTGTTTAATAATAGAATATTTGTAATTGTTTTCGAAAACAACTTATTAAACATGTATCACTTATAATATAAACAATGTTGCACTCATTGTGGACTTAACCCAACACCTTATGTCACGAGCCGACGACAGCCATAGGTCTTCCCATTCCATCATCTGGCTTATCGAAAAAATACGTCGTCTGGGGGCTTTACAAGCTCAAGATCAGCCTCATGAAAGCCTCAAAAAGATTTAAAGTTACAAATTATTCTGACTTTTATAAAACTTCTTAAAATTTTATTTTTTGAACATAATTATAAAAAAATTTGATGATCAACTTATAGAATACATAGATTTATCCATATCATGTTTTCAGATCTATATATATATATATATATATATATAT